TCAGACTAACAGCAGGCCTAAAAACTCTAAAATTAATTCTTAACTCCCTAATTTTCCAAGATAGAGATAATAAGTCATAGACGCATGCAAAATTTGTTACGTCCGTGATCTTTCCATCTTGGAATATTTTTCTCGATCCAATAATAAGATTTTTTCTAAGACTGCTGATGAGAGCGGAAAAATATCAATTGCTAATGATTGTGCCATCACTGAAAGTCACTATTTATTCACAATTTTCGTTATTTTAGTCACTAAAGTCACTAATATTATATCACATACCCACATCCAGCTCTGCAAAGTCTATAACCAGATCACGATCCTTAATTTTCATAAACGAGCTTTAAGGATCCAAATATCCGTCGTTTTTCGCTCTGATTCGTGAAGAAGACATTCATGTGGATGTTTCTGATCTTCTTGATGACCATCTCGTAACCATCCAAGACATAAATTCAATATATAATCCTAAATTCACACATTTTGCTCGAATCTTATTGTTTTAGAGCAAATCTTGACATTTAAAGTTCTGCTTCTTGAAGTGTTAACTTCTACGGATGTTCCGGATTATTCAGAAGTCAGATAGTGTCAATTTATGATAGTGTCGACTCGAGTAGTAATACAAGACACAGAAGAAGTCTGCACATTGTAGACGAAATACGCGTATCTGTCAATGATAAGCAAATAAGGTAGTGGAATTAAATGGAAATTACTAATCCTTCTCTCTATCTTTATACAGGTATTCCACTAAGCCATTCACATTCATCAGATGTCAATTTATGGTCCTTATTTAGTAGCCAATCTTCAATTCTCACATTTATCTCAAGCCGTATTGATAAAATAAATAGGCATCTATGTTTTGCTATATTAAGTGGTTACTTCTACGGATGTTCCGGATCTTAAGAAGTATCAGGTCGCAACCATCCAAGATCTAGATCCAATTATCTAGATCTAGAGTTCAATTTCATAATATTACTATTCTCACGGATGTTCCAGATCTTCCGGAAGATCAGAAAATGGTCAACAGATCTTACATTTAATTTTCAATGAACACATTTCTCATGCTTTATATTGATTTAAAAAAATAAATAATAAATAATAATGTATTTATTTTGTGCTTCGATTTTATGGACAATTCAATTATACGCACATTTAAGAATCGAAAATGTGCATATAATCAAGTTATACCTGTACTCGGTGGGGAGCCCATCCGGAAAAATAGAGTAAAATTGAATATGTGTCATTCCGCGCTATAGGTGCTAGGCTATATGTACTCGACTCATACGATGAATCTCGAATTACTCCCGGGCATGCTTCCCTTAACATATCGTTTCACTGAACTGTCTCTTCGATTACCCATCCATTGTGATCTAATGAATCCATTGGTAAGAGACAACTTTGAGGAGCTGCTTAACCTAAATCCTCAAACAAGATTCATGAGTCTGTACTATGACTACATGAAGCTGAAGGTTAATCATTCTTCATTCAATTCAAATCGTGCTTGCTTTCAAGACTTATACAGTTTATCTGTAAATTTTGATCAGACCATCAGGAAATCCAAGGAATACCAGATCACCATCGGTCTTTACCTCAATGTTTGCAATCTAGTACCACCATAACGATAAAAGTTTTGTCAAAGATCGGTCAACTATAAATACTTCCACTAGTGTATTTAATGAATTTCATAGTGCCTCCTATAAACTGCAGAATCGCTTCTCCGTATACGTCGAGGAACTAGCAACTGTATTTTAATAGTAAAGCAAATTTCAATACTTCCCTCTGACCACTACACAGTTTGAAAAAGTAGTGTAAATTTCTGTTCAATATGATGCACATAAAAAGAGCGTCACATCTCATCTAAGTAGTCTAAAGCTCTGAGATATTTTATGAAATATTTGTAAACAACATTGGTTACAAGTTGCTCGTTTGCGTGAAATGAAATACAAGTTTATGTGAATGAATGTTTACATCACAATTATAATTCAGAAATTTTTGCTGTGTACGAAAAGCCTTAGCTCATTGGAGGCTGTACGTTAAATGAGGCTGATGAAGCACTCCTTGTATTTCCTGTTTAAAATACGATCTAAAATGTGTGCTTTGTCTAATAGCTCCTATACTATCATCTTAGATTTGGTCCTCTCTCATTGTTCTTTTCCGGGTGGTCTCGCTGGCTAGGCGGACGCTATGGAAGGCGATACTTATGAGCGCCAAATCGCCTTTAACGATTTTTTTTTTTTTTTTTGAATTACTCGTCAGCAAGTCTTCATCAATTAGCAACAAAAATGGAATGATGGTAATTTAAGAAGATTTTTACATTCAATAGAATACTCCCATAGGTGTCCAATAAACCGTGATTCAAAAGGTTGACTTTATATGCGTTGTGTCAAGGCTCATGTCAATCATTGTTAGTTAGGCTCGCATTTCTATCGAATTGGACCGTCAGGCAGTAATTTGTGTGCATGAGGCAAAGGTTATCATGATATCGAGCATGTTGTTTGGTCATATACCTTACACCGTTTTGCCAGATCTGAGTTAACCGCATCCCTCGAGGAAAACAACCCACAATACCCGTTTGATATGCATTGGCGAGCCAATAATATTTATTATTATTCATAGAATTATATCAGTTTGTCAATGCAGTGACGTGTCCGTTAGAGTAGAAGTATATTCCAGATTTCCCAAGTAGCCAACAAGTCCGCTAATCGTCCTTTTTGCAATACGACTTATATAAAGTTAGGAAACCGTATATTTACCTTATATCGCAAAAAAAAACTATTATCGAGTAGTTAGTGGGCTTGGTAGTTACTTGAGTTAGACTCAAGTGGCCATTATGAATTCAAACATGGTTTAATTTGCTTGACCTAATTCCTGTTTGTCACACAGTGCTATTTTTTGAAGGAACTCTTCAAGATTGGGTTTGCATAGTTTTAAAAGTAAACTTTTGTCTTTTTAAAAACTGCAGGGTTAGAAAAAAATATATTGTAGAATCAGAGAGTTGGATGTCTGCTCCGGTATGGGAACTTTTTTATTAAAACATGTCTTATCTTCCCTGAGCATAGAGTATGAGTACAATCACTGCGACACAATTATACCAAAACAAAAATGGCAATCGGATTAGAAAACTCTCAATTAACAACAATGGTAGTGGATCTAGACCATTAAGTTGAAAGTCAGTGCAAGTTCCACTAGGTTAGTAATAAGAATGACGCTTTCAATCAATTTAACATGAAAAAACAGCTTTGAGTGGGTTGGTTTATTTCCTTTAAATTCCGTTACAATTGCTTATCTTTTGACAGATACGCGTATTTCGTCTACTACTTGCAGACTTCATCAGAGCCAAACACTCAACACCACGGCTCTTCTTAAAGGTATTCCGTTAAGAGGTTCGACAAATTTAAAGGATTGATGAAAAAACAGTTTTAACTACTTACAAGGTTCGGTGTACTAAATTGAGATATTCATATTGATACACTGTACAGCATAAAAATTAAATATATACGGATACAACAAATACGGAAAACAAATCAAGGAAAAAAAATGCTCCACTGGTCCGAGGGGTGCTTCGCTCGTCCCAAAAATGTGGATTTTTTAAAGTTAGACTAAAATAAAAATCTCGTTAAAATTTTTACCAAATTGAAAGAGGTCAATTTTACTTTCCTCGGACACTTGGCGCGAAATTACCCATGTGGAAGTTTTTTTAACAAAGATAAAAATCTTATTAAAATGCTTCTAAAACCGTGAGTTACAGAAACACGAATTGACCATGCCATGTAATACTTTCGTGAATTGAATATTAATTCATGTAGACATTCGATTAGATTCCCTTGTGTTAATAAAATCGATTTAAAAACATGTCCACCCCATTGAACAAGATTTGAATTTTGCAGCACATATGTTCGACGAGCAAGAGTATCTGGTTTTGATTTCATGATAGAATAAAATATCACAGCAATTGGCAAAAGACCGTGCTTTCTACATGTTAACTAGAAATAGCTGGTATAAGCTCGATTATGTTTGGCGTTTCATTTATGACAACAAGACTGTTCTGCATTGATATGAATGGGCTGGTAAGAATATGTCAGATTTCATTTCAGGAAATTTTCAGTTATAAAAGGTTTGTGAGTGGTGGGCTGGTCCTTTTGGAAAAATGGAAGAGTGTGCTTGACAAACATTAAAATGAGTATAAATCACTGGTATACTCATTTTTGTGTATCGCCTGCATCCTATTTTTAGCTTCACCTTATGACGACCTGTCGAGTCGAGCAAAATTTCCTCGATCAGACCGAGAATCACACCACATCCAGTATTGTATGCTACAGCTTTTTTGACAAGACTTCACAATCACTGAATATCCACTCAGTATGGTATCATAATCAGCATTGCATTTCTGAAGTTGAAATTACGTCTTAAACTAGCTCAGTAACATAGCTCCATTGCTGAAAAAGTCATGACAACATTTGACAAATTCTTACCAGCGCACAAACACCAACTAAACAGATTTTTTGTTATATGGGCAACGAGAAAAACGCTTGAGTTTATTCAGCTAGCTAGTATTTTTGTAATATATGCAACGAAGCACAGTATTATGCCAATTGCTGTGCTGTTTCATTCCATCAAGAATTCAAATCCAGACCCTTGCCAGTCGAGCATACATGCTACTAATCTCATCCCGTGTTCAATGGGGTGGACATGTTTCCAATTCGACATTCTCAATATAAAGAAGTCAAATTAAATATAAGCTTGGTTTATGCCTAACTGTCGATTCGATGAGTTAATGCACTAAAACGAATGACATTTTCTCATCAATAATGATTTAGTTATTATAGAGAGCGATTCGTCCTACAGTCGCGTGAATTCATATCGCTTATGATGACAAACACTTTTAATAACATTGTTGAGATTGTGTAAATGTTTTTTACGATAATTTCTCTTAAATCAAAAGTTGCTAAAAACGTTAGTCATGCTCTGAAATAAAAGTAATGCCTATAAGTTAAACATAAACTCACCCAATATTAGTCAACTGGAAGTCTTCTAGGTAGATGAAGAAATTTGACAAATCGATGGCAAACTCAAACTGGAATGTCATGGTCGCAATGTCAATATCAACCCATCCTGATGGCCCAAGATCCATGATGTGGGCAGAATAGTCATAAGTAAACTGTGAATGAGAAATCAAAGTATATAGCAGTATATTCTTATACGGATTAATTATGAAAAATTTGAACAAATCTTGATACTCGATGTATTGACAAATTCTCAGCAGTTTCATACAACCAACTTCGGTTCATACACGTTTTCCTTCCTGACAACTTGTGTAGTATTTCGGATGCAATATCGAATTAGAAAAATTTCCGAATACCATATTGTTGTGACACTAACAAGCAGAACAAAGCGGAACACATGTTTAAGTCGTGGAATTGGTTCGCAATCGTGTTTACTTCACCAAAGTATTTCATGTAGCTAGATAAGGAGTCGCAAGTCACATGCTTATTTGTGAGTGTCCCCATGCTCCTGGCTTGAACTTTCGGCAAGTAAAAAATCGGAGGAAAAAGTTTCCATGCCTTTGGTATTTTTTTCGGTTGAACCGCTTCTAGGCTTTTTGCTCAGTTGAATAAATTACAAGATGTGACTGTGGACATGTATGTATAGATGCAAGATGAAACGTCTGAGCCAACCCTAGCGACGCAACGATAAGACCCAACTCGATTCGTCTTCTGGAAAAGTTATTTATAAAGCTTTTTGAATAATTTATCTTCTGCAAATGCGAGTAAGATAAAATAAGTCCCCTCAATTACCGAAGAAATTAAAGCAAACGAAAGTTTAAACAGCAAACCTATTCACTTTGTACCAAAATGCTCGTTGTAGAAACTTCTATACGACTACTCTCAGTCTTACATAAGTTGCTGCATCCTAGTCAATGTTGGCGTCTATAGTGAAATACCAGTATAAAGATAGAAAGAAGGATTAGTTATTTCCATTAAATTACACTACCGTAATTGCTAACCCTTGACTGACACGCGTATTTCGTTTACAATGTGCAGACTTCTTCAATGCCTTGTACCAATAATAGACTGGTATTTCATTCAGTCAAGTATTAGTAAAAGACAAGGGGGAATAAGGGAGTGGAATTAAATTGGAAATTAACCACTTCATTCGAGCTGTTGAAATGACGTTTACTACCACTCGAACTTTGAAATAAAACATTATTTTGAGATTTTTTCTTCTAGAACCTCGAGAAAAGTAGCCATAATTTGTGCGTTTCATTAAAAAATAGAAATTAGTTGGTCCAGTTTTGTGAAATCGCTGGTAGAAAGTCACGCCAAAACTGCTTGACAAAGTGGTCAATTACTAATCGTTCTCTCTTTCGCTTAATGCTGCTAGTTTTTGTGATGGTATTATGTTACTTCTTTGTACAGGGTGATTCGGAGTAACTGTCACCGTTTTCATATGTATGTAATTCTCAATGGGTAAAATTAATATATGCTCAAGTATTTTTGTTTTAAAGTGTGTACAAATGTCATCTTGTATTGATAATAGGACTAGAAATATAATTTGTTTTTTGATTTCAAGCAGCCATGGATCTGTATGCCTTTAAAATCTGAAACATTTTCGAGTGATTGAAGCATTTATATTTCGCACCATTTTCCTTGATTTGTTTCCGTCGATCTTGTTTTCCGTGCTGAGCACCAATGCTACACTAATAGAACTCCACACATTTTTATTGACGAATTTCCATGTAAAATTCCTCATGATTTTCATGTGACCACACATAAACAGAATCTACCCAGAAGCACACATGATATTTATGAGTCAAATGAATAGTATGTGTGGTTACACATGGCTTTTATGTGTACACATATTAAGTATGTGTCCGACACATAGATATCATTTGTTGATCACATTGCAAAAATTCATGTGTGGGACACATAAAACAATCTTTGAAAATTTATCTATCGACCCATCAACTCATGGACCGGGGACCAACGACATTACTTCTGGCGTGATCAGAGATATTATGCCTCAGAACATCCCGGCGGTGCCGACTGGGATTGAACCCAGGCCTGCTGGGGCCGCTTTTTCGCAACGTACAAATGAACCACACAGTTCGAAAAAGTAGTGTAAATTTCTGTTCAATATGATGCACATAAATAGAGCGTCACATATCATCTAAGTTTACATTATAAATCATGTGAAGTTCTGAGACATTTCATGCAAAGTAGCAAATATTATATACAAAAGCCCATCTTTGTAAACAACATTGTTTACAAGTTGCTCGGTTGCGTGAAATGAAATATAAATTTACGTGAATGAATGTTTACATCACAATACAAATTCAGAATTTGTATCTGTGCATGCATGGAAAATCCATTCGATATCAGAGCTTAAACGCATCGCCAGGACTCCAGAAGTCCTGGGACTAAAACGTGCTTGCCAATTGTGATTCATTATCATGACAAATATGGGTGATAAATACAGTAAAGGGAGAGAGATTTGAATTTAAGTATGTTAATTTGAAGGTTATATATATGTACACACTAAAAAAATCTGAATTTTACTGGTGATGTAAACATCCATGCATGCAAACATTCATGCATGTAAACTTTCTTTTCACGTAAACTAGCAGCTTGTAAGAAATGTTGCAAACAAAGGTGGAAAATTGCATACAATATATGGAATATTGCATGACATGTCTCATAAATCTACACGATTTATAATGTAAATTTGTATGATTTATGACGCTCCATTTATGTGCATCATAGTAACGGAAATTTACACTACTTTTTTAGCTGTGTAGTATATCTGAAATATAATGATATCAAAGATGCATGCAAGCGTTCAATCGTAAAGAAGTTTTTTTTAAGTGACAGTTTTTCCAAATCACCTTATACAGTTTTAATTCATTGACGAATTTATAAACATTAATTTAAAAAATATATATAAGCAACTCAACAAATGCGTATAAAAATATTGTATTACAGATTGACGTTGCAAAACCAAAAAATTAAAAATTTGTTGAAAATCACTCGATAGTCGGTAAAATCGATTGCAGCTTGTTGCGTTTATTGCCTGCAGCTCGATCACTTTGTCGTTGCGGTTTAATATTAACAATTAGAGATCATGAGACCGAAGCTTCTGAATCATGGCTCCATGCTCCACGAGCTTGTTACTGTTCGTGCTTCGTGCCGGATTTCCAGTAGTACTTTCTGTTCGAGCAAGTGCTCGACTCTCGATTTCGAACTAAGATCTGTGCGATATGTTTGAATATTTTGCATTCGAAGAGTTGCTCACTTGTCTCATTTTATTCATATAATTCTGATAAACACTCTAACCACTACACGTCGTAAAGAATACGATCAAATAAAACATCCCCAATAAAAGCGCGAAACCCTTTGTTTCTCTATATAGCTTTGAAGCTCTAAGATGAGCTTTTACTTGCCCTTAACTGAGGGTTCTTCAACCCTCCAGCGCCGATAAGGAAAATTTTGAAGTAAACTCATTTATATTTATACCGTGCTATTTGGGTGGTTGTTATGACCACTAAAGGCATTTTTTAAGAAGAAATTTTACTTTTTTTGCTTGGAACAGACTCAAAGTGGTCACTGTGGTCCAATCCGCTCCACACCAAAACAAATGAAAATAGGCTAATATACCGCGACAAATTTCATCAGAATCGGATAAGAATTGAATGTTTACAGCCAAAATAAATTAGGTTTTACCTGTAGCGCTGAAGGGTTAAAGCAATTCCACTGTTATTAATTGAGAGTTTTCAATGCCAACCAATGAATGCATGTAATTGTACATTGTGCGGCAAGCTCTAGTGTAGTACTAGAATTCTGACTAGAATGGGATACGTTAAACGTTTGCTTGGGACCAATAGGCTAGTCAAGTAGTGAGTCAATTTCAAATCGATAGTTTCGTATTGATTGTTGATGATACTCTATGCCCAGGGAAGACGGTCAACCCGAAAGATTTCCTGAGACAGACCGGGAAACGAACCTGCTGCCTCCACACAGTGCTACAGTGGGACAAACTCTTAAACGAAACATTTTCGAGGGTTGGTGCATCGTTATTACTAAACTAGCTATTGGCGTAAACAGATAGCTCACAACTTATCAGCTAAGATGGCACCACGATCTAACTTTATACTATGCTATTGTAGAAACTTGATGTCTTCAGAAAAATTGTTTGTCTTAATGATAAGGTGTTTGTCTTAATGATAAGTTGTTTGTCTTAATGAGCAACTTTTTTGAAGACGTCAAAGTTGCACAGCCTGACATCTTGGCATTCCAAGTTATTTGGAAAACAATATTTTAATTATAATCAAAATTAGATAAAACAGAAATACTTAGTAAACTTTTTGATTGCAATAGCATTTAACCTCAAAATACCAGCTGTTGGAGCATATAAAAAGTTGATCAAAGTCAGCGTTGCCAGAATGTTTTAAAGCTGATCAGTATCAAATGTTTTAAAAAATCGGTATTTATCGGTATTTACTGTTTTAATTATTTTAAATTTTTGCCGATTTTGAAAGCGATTTTTTTTTTATCTTTTGGGCTATGGTCGGAAACTTTCGGAAGAAAACTCCGGGGAATGTTTGAATTAACTTCTGGAGGAAGTTGACAACAACATCCAGAGAAAGAAGAAAGAAGCTAACCTGGAGGAAATTTGAGGAAAGTTCTGAGAGAAGTCGGAAAATCATCCGCGAAACTTCCAAGACATAAATTGAGACGAAAATCTTCTGACGAAAATTTAAAGAAACATTCAGAAAAAATCGGATTTCACATTCAAAGGAAGACAGAAAAGTTTCGGAAATCGGAAATAAATTCCAGAAGTAGCCATTTCCAAGGGAAGCCAGAAGGAGCTAGGAAAAACCTTCCAATAGAAGTAAAAAAAAACAAACTGTACAAAATTCCAGAACTATACGAAAGAAATTTCTGGGAGAAGTTTAATAGAACTTCCTGCAGAAGACGCAAGAAACTTACTGAGGTAGATTGGGAAAAAAAATCTGGAGGAAGGCGGAAGCCAGAGCGCTAACGGAACAGTCGAAAGAAACAAGGACATAATTCCGGAAGAAACAGCTCTTGGGGGATGTTCTAATGATCCAGAAAATTTTCCAAATAGTCATAAACCATCCCTGAAGACTTTGAAATACTTGGAACTTCCTTGATTATAATCAGACTACCGAAATATATCTAATCAACTTTGAAAGTCTCTAGACTTTCTTGAACATTACGAAATTTCTTAAGTGCTCTCACAATTTTCTTGCGTTTATTGTAAGATCAGCTTTGAAGTTCTTTGATATTCCCGATTTTTCTAATTTTTAAAAGTTATCAACACTGCCATTAATAAGCATGCTAATGTTCATGTAACTTCCCTAACGTTTCTTTAATTTGCATGAGCCCCTCGGAACATTGCTGAAGTTTTCGGAAATTGCCTGAGTTTCTCGGAACTCCTTTAAAGTTTCAGCGATATCCTTGAAATTTAAAGCTTCCTAAAGTTCTTTCAATTCTCCTGAAACTAATGGAACTATTAGATTTTCCAGAAGTTGTTTGGACTTGTGAAGTATCCATAATATTTATGATGTTTCCTTAAGGTCACTGGAGTTCGCTGGACCGGGTTTTAACAGAAGTTATTGAAACATTTCTCAACTTATACAAACTAACTGAAAAGTCCGAACATTTCTGAAGTTTCAGAACTTCTTAAAAGTTCCGGGAAAGTTGAAAAAACTGGCAGGAAAAGATGGAAGAATCATTCGAAATAAGTTTCCGAGAGGAATCGTAAAATAATTTACGATGTAAGGTGGAAGAAAATTCAAGAAGTTAAATAACATTCAAAACGTATTTCCCAATTCCCAGAAATTACCAGAAAGAGCAGTCGACTGTTTATCGATTTATGGGTAGCCAACAACGGTGAGGAAACTGAAAGATTAATCGAAAGAGTATTCATAAGACATTTTTAAAAATGTTTTTTTTTTATTTCAAAGGCTCAAAAAATTTGAGATATTCAAAAAGAAACAAGTCTCTCACAATAATTTTCTCCGAAATTCGAGCGCGGCCAGGCAATATTAATTTTGGTTTTTTTAATAAAATCGGTATAAATCGGTATAAAACCTCAAAAATCGGTATTCTGAGGAGCCTTATCTGTGTATCGGTATCTAGTTCGGAAATCGGTATAAATACCGATAAATCGGTATATCTGGCAACGCTGATCAAAGTATCTGTTAAATGAAATATCGTGGTGGCACAAGTTACCCGCTGCACCAGCAACGCGCCATTACACCATTTGTACTTACTACCACCATACACAATGCTCGGATCACTCCAACTTGTAGGGGAACGTGTGGTATTGCACCACTCATAAGGAAATAATAAATTTCACTTCATTTTAATCAATATACATTCTATTTCAGCGCATTAATTAGTCTTAATAATCTTTTTGATGTTACCGAAAATTTTGTGAGAAAATATGCTTTTATCACCGAGAAATGATTTTAATCAAAATAGCGTTTTGATTTTTCACTGGGTAATCTGGGTGTCTCGTAAGTGTTATGATTTTTACTTTATGTTATGTAGGTTGCATACATTTATGCGCTACCGTGCATTTAGTTTTCACACATAGCACATAGCACGATGCTGGTAATGCATCAGATCAAAACTTAGGAGTGCTCTTATTTTTGCCTATGAAAACTCATACACGTTGAACAAATCTTACATCAAAAGGCACTTAAACATCAGAATAGCATTTAACCCCAAAATACTACCTGTTGGTGCAATAAAAAGTTTATCAAAGTATCTATTAAGCAAAATATCGTGGTGGTGCGCATTACCCCGACCCCATATCTTCGTCAATCTAAGCAGGCGTCTACGTTAGCATTTTCTCAGCGTTACGCACACATATGACGTGTTTGTTTGGATACATTTGTCCTGTGTCCTTTATATAAGGTCTGGGCCAAAGGGCTTATTGGTATTAGTGAAATGTGCAAATGTTTAGTGGTGTTTGGGTAGAGTGACGTCGTCATTTGATTGCTCAGCAATGTTTACAATATTTTTGTTTCCAAACCAGCAAGCTACCTGTTGGCTCAGACCTTACATAAACGTCATTGACATTTATCTGCTGCTTGTAAAAATCAGTTTTACATTAACTATTTATACATTGTTTTCTCACAAATGATTTATTCTAGAGACTTCAAGATGGTGTATGTTTTTGTTCAAGTAGGTAAGTTATTTTCTCTTTCTGTTGGAAAGGTATACATGATTTTTGTTGAAAAGTTAGCTATTTTTAAATGTTGTTATTTCATATTTTTTTGTAATTGAGTTTTACGATGGCGCACGTTTATGCTGAAGCAACCAAGTTGCTACCTCTTGTAGTTGAAAAAATATTAACGATTTTCGTGAGAAAATATATTGTATTTAAAAGTTAATTAAATGTGATAAACTTAAAAGGCTCCCGTAGTTTTTACACTATATATGAGTTATACAGTAAATAGCATAAAAATCAAGTTTCTGTTAATAAAGAAATCAACAAAAATAGTAAATTTGTTTGTCAATTTTGATTTTCATCATAATTCAATTACAACATGTAGGTTCATAATTTGAAGATTTTCTATCTAAAAGAACAATACTTACTCCAAGCTGTCTGATGTTGGACCCAACGGAAACTCGCAGCACCTTTCTATCATAATGCATCATCGCCGTTCCACTTCGTACAACGCTTTGTATGCTGTGGAAAACTCCGTTGGTCAGTTCCAACTCACCATGGTAGGTAATTAAAATGGGTCTCTGTAGGTGAATAGAATACATTTTTAATTAATAAAATAAAGCCAAGGACCGACAATTCCACGTTATTATAACCCGCATAATCAATGACAGCCAACTGCTACACGACGTGCAAGCTAGCTCTCTAAATTACTGATCCAAGTAGCTGATTATTTGAAATTGTTTGCGGTTTGGCTTGTTTCGTTATAAAATCATTTTAGATTAATTAGAAAGAAAATCTTTCAAATGCGGCTAACGTTAATTAAAATTATCAAAATCAGGAAATCTCGTTTACTTCAATACAAGTGAATTTTTTACATTTAAAGGATTTAAAAGAGCATAAAAACAGGAGTTGAGCTACAAAAATGGAAGTGATTGCCTAATAGAATCATCTGGTTAATTCGAGTACGATTATTTTATTGTTTCTTCATGCTCAAAGATCACAGAGTATATCAAATGTAATTAGCAATCACTGATATCAATATTTTTACGAGTGTGAGCCATGAAGGCAGATTGGATTGCTGAAAAACCCCAACTTACGTGTTCGAATCCTTCTACGAAATCTGGCAAATCGATCGGAATGAAGTTTTGGTTCAACCATGGTCCTACTTGTATCATGATGATATCAACGTAATTATTCATATTTGCAGACATAGGTCCTGAGCGGTCACTGAAATAAATCACATTGATTAATTGGCATATTAAGTATTCAAGCATTCTAACTGATATCAGTGAGACGCATTTATTAACCTTAAACGCAACATATTTTATACTGAGGGAGCTGGGTGTATAGTGAGCAACCCCTTTTTGGTCATGCTAAAAATTCAGCAGCCTTTTTTTGGTAACAAAAATGTTTTTTTTTTATAAACAAAAATTATCCTTTAACGTGAGTAAGGGTAAGGTAACAGAAATGTGATTTATTACTGTTCTTTTTTTTTCTTTTATTTAACGTCGGTCTAGTGCCAATCACCAACGGACATTGATTGCCCTCCATTGACGGCAATCGAATGTGCAGGAAGGCAGCTTTCCACACCTGCGTAGGATATCGTACCCATTCAACACACATGGGCCGGGACCAACGGCTTTTTTATGCCTCAGAAAATTCCACCGACCTCGGGCTGGGATTGAACCCAGACCCATCGGGGTGTTAGAAAGCAGTCACGCTTACCACTACACCACCGGCTCCGGCTTTTATTACTGTTGATTATTTCGCTTTGGAAAAATTAAAAGTGGTATCTGAGGTTCTGGAAAACACGCTGTAAATAAACGTATCGTATTTGAAAAGGACACACATACACACATACTGAACTGAATTGTTGTATAATACATGATCCATGAAATGAAAAAAATATTCTATTCATTTTGGTCTGAATATAATATATTTATTAAGACAGAGTTTCTCAATCACAAGCTGTTCTTAGAAGGGTCGCAGGAATTCAGACATTGATATAACCAGAAGGATTTTATTTTTCTTATACTACTTCAAATCTTTTTTTTTTCTTTTCTTCTTTTTCTAGTGGATAAATGCCCATTGAAGTGAAGCTCCTATCATAACTCTTCTCCGAAAAGCATAAAACCTTCATGAACTCGGTACTCACTGCAGCATGATTCGAGCTCCATGTTCGTTGGTAAAAGATTTCAATTATCGTTGCAGTGTGACGTTAAGTACTTTCGTCGATGCTAGTGCTAATTCCATATACTACGACTATCCGATTATGCCAGTATGAACTCCTTTCTCACAAGTGTTGATTGGGCTGAACTAATACGTGATTGTGATGTCAACCTAGCTGCTAGCATTGTAACAAATTACTGTACACAATCGATCAGTTTGTTCCAAAGAAGTTACAAAAATAACAAGTTTACCCTCTCTAGACCAATTCTCTTTTGAAACGTTTAAAGAAGATCAAAAGGAAAGCATTTTAAAAATTCAGCAAAGCAAAAACTGCGTCGTTAAAAGCCTGTTACCTAAGAGCACATAGGGTATATAAAAGACTGAATTTTCAGTTATTTCACTCACATCTAAATCGTTTACAACAGCGTCTAAAATCGAAACCGGAAGGATTTTGGTGCTACTTTTAGTGATTAAAGAAAATAGACCAAACTTCCTTCAATCATGTCGAACGGTGATTCAGAGGTTTCAACCACTTATAAAATTGCATCTCGTTTTCGTGAACAATTTAGCGGTGATTTCTAAAATGTGTCAGCTAGCCTTAAAGATGTCGTCGTTGCCGCTGTCAATATACCACTTTTAACTCACCATTCGATAACAACTGATGTTGTTCTAGCCATTAACCTTAAAAATTGCATCCAATTGCATCTCCATTAGCATCAATATTCGATTCTTCATTGGCTTCTGGTGTTTTTCCAAGCTGCTGGAAAAACCTTTTTGTTCTCCCGATTCATAAAAGAGCCTGCAACTATTCAACTATCCAACTATCAAGGTATCCGCCTTGTGTGCCTCGTCAAAACTTTTCGAACTGATTGCCCTGGACTTCTTATCACAGAAATGCTCACAATATTTCTCATCAGATCAACATGGATTTGTTTCCAGACGGTCTACTACCACCAACCTTGTGACATTTACCATGGCCAAGTTTGACCGATTATAAATTGACGGAAACCTTCACTATTGGCTGCACTCGTACCTGACTGGATGGAACATGTCCGTCAAGCTTGGTGATAATATTTCATCTTCGTTTCTAGCTAAGTCCGGAGTACCACAATGCAGCCATCTTGAATCATTATACCTACTATACATGAACGATGTTAACAACGTCCTGAAATGCCACAAATTAGTCTTACGTTGACGATCTCAAGCTATATTATGTTATCAACAAATCAAGTACGCTTTCTTTCTTCAAGAACAATTAGAGGCCTTCGCAGCTTGGTGCAAGACGAATTGTATGGACTTAAATGATTCTTAATTCTCCATTATTTACTTTGGGCGTAAACGACCACTGGCCCTCCACGACTACGTTTTAAGTGGTACCTCTCTAAAACGTGAGAACACTGTGAAAGATCTTGGAGTAATTCTTGGCTCTTCACTGACATTCAAAGATCAAGTGATGATAATGATGGTCCCACCTCTTACCCCTGCAGAGGTTTGAGCTGAACGATTTATCTTTAAGATAATTAAATATGACATTTTAACCAGGTTAGCAAACAAAATCGAACTAGTTACAGTAACAGATATAATTTCCCTCTAGAGTTTACAGTTGCTTCACAGCGATATAAATGTAGAAAAGCTAAGGCGTCCACCTAAAATATTCTTAAGTATTACAAGCCATCAAGAGTTAATGAACAATCAACAAAGCATCCTATTACACTAGCAACCCCGCAATCTGATGCTATCATAATTTTCAGCAATGTCAGGAATGCTCACGAACCCCTAACATTTGCCAAAAAACTTACTACTAACTCAAGGTATCTTCCAAATAAGCTTCAAAATTTAATTTTTTTATCAAATTTTTAAATTCAGTCCTCTATGTGAGCGATTCCGGCGTAGTGGTTAGCATCCATACCTCTCACGCCAAAGTCACGAGTTCAAATCTCACCTCCAGACAAGTCACGAATGACCCAAGAGCGTTAAAGTGACCATAATAAAAAAAGAAAAAAAAATCAGTCCTCTATATTCGTAATACGCGCGAGAGGCTCAAACCTTCGTAGACTACTTGTTTTGTTTTTTAAATCTACTACTGTTAAATCAAATTGTGTCACACGTCGTATCAAAAGCCTCGTCACAATTGGGATTAATTTTCTAATTCGGCAAACATTTCAAGCATGTGTTTTGTATGAAGACATTATATTGTGCTGTGGTTTGGGCACCGTATTATCAAAACGGAATAAATAGAATCGAAGCCGTCCAACGGAAGTTAGTACGTTACGCACATCGTCACCTGCCATGGAATGACTCTACTGAACAATGCAGGTTGATCCATCTTGATTTCCTCAACAGACTACGACTTTTGTAAGGAATCCAAACCTTGACTTTATAGTTCATGCATTCATCCTTTCTTAAATTAATACCTTCAATTATCACAATAATTGTCATTTACTCTCCATCTCCTTTACACGATTAGCGATTACTTTCTAGGTCTATTGCTCTGTAATGGTAGAATGATGAGATTAAGTTTATTTTTTTTTTTTTTCCTTTGGTTTGTTTTTTCCGTCGATCTTGTTTTCCGTGCTGAGCACCAATGCTACCGACGTGCCAGGAAGGCAGCTCCCACACCTGGACCCTACCTATCGACCCATCAACTCATGAACCGGGGACCAACGGCTTTACTTCCCATCCGAAGGAAGGCGTGATCAGAGATGTTATGCCTCAGAACATCCCGGCGGCGCCGACTGGTATTGAACCCAGGCCTGCTGGGGTGAGAGGTAATCACGCTTACCACTACACCACCGGCGCCGTTAGGGATTAAGTTTAGTCAACAATTATTATTTAAAGCTCATAAAGCTGATAAAGATAAAAGCATAGCATCTTTATCCGTTTGGTGATAAGCTCTACAACGTTGCCGTCCATTGTATTTGTTATCAAAAAATATGAAGAATTCTGATTAAGACACAGCTGTTTGAAGCCCAATAGTGAACGTCGAAGACAGGATTGATTAATTCACCTAGCAGTGACACGTGTCTTTCTCATACACGGTATACAGTGCGCGTCAAAACATTAAAACCAGCTAAAATCATTCCTCTCTGAAACCGTTGAATCTCTTATGTTTGTCATTCAGTTTTATGGAGCTTCCAGGGTTTTTGGACAAACTAGTTTCCAATAGTTTTACAAAATGTTACACAATTTCAATAACAAACCTCTGAGAATTGGGTGATTATGTAATATTGGACATCTTTTACTTAACTAGCTGTTCATCTCAGTGATGCCAATATATTTACAGCTAAAAATTACCATGCAGAACTTGAACATTAAGAAATGAAACAGCCTATGACAGAACTTGACCATTAATAAACATAATCACAAAATTTGATGAATATACGCGAAAAATTGTGTTTTTAAAAATTTACCAATTTTCCAATTTTTAGTATTACTGGTCGAGTATTAGAACAAGACACTGAAGAAGTCTGCACATTGTAGACGAAATACGCGTATCTGTCAAGGATAAGCAAATAAGAAATTACTAATCCTTCTCTCTCTCATTATTTATCATAACAATTGGTTAACAAACAACAGAGATACAATTTTGTTCAGTCCGCATCGTGATCTCTTGCCTTGCGGATCTATTAGCTTTTTGCTGAAGGAAGTGTTACTACTACCTAAAGCTACAACAAATTTAAACAGCACTTTTCAGTACTCAACCTGTAAAAAATTTCTACCTTGTTCAACTCTTATTCCTCTTCGATCCTTGTTTGGACCCTACCCGAGGTAATCCTTTTTGGATATTGATTTGGAAAATTCCTCTTCGATCCTTCAGATTCTTATAGTAATCTGCTTGGAAGTCGATTTGGATAAAAATTTACTGCCGGCATGGCACCTAAACGCAAAAGAAAGGGGCAAACTCTTGACCCCCCTTCTGATGAAATTAATTTGAGTAATCAATTTGATTTGCTCACGGATGATGAGAATGATCCATCATCCAAGAAAAATTCTAGTAAACTTTCCCGGCTTAATGCCAAGAAGGAAAAGATTCCCCCTATTGTGATAACCACTTCCGA